CTTGCATCTACTGGCCTGTGATCTTCCTGAATCATTTCATGTGGATTTGTGAGTCTGAAGAAGGGATTATTGACTAGTATTGGACTTATGGGCTAACATTGGACTTACGGACTTGATCTGGAGTGGGCTAGGATAGTTTCTTAATATGCAATTACTCTTTGATATAAAGCTCTTTATCACATGAGTATCTCCAGATTTGTTTCTCTAGCCAAACTAGCCTAACACATTATGCTACTGCATTAGAATCATAGCAAGTCCCTAAAAATTCAATGCACTTAACATATTTTAATACTGAAACTCAAATCCACTTACATATTCTTCACTCTCTGATGGAGGATTACTGTTGTCTGCTGAAGTAGTTACATCTAATGGTTTCTCAGATGAAGCGTCTGGAAATAAAAACTTAGGGAGAGGAAAAAATGAATTCATGTTTTGATCCAAATTCTTACTTTTTGATGTATATAACTCACACACACTTTAACTTGTTATTGGTTTCATTGTTAAAACATGGAAATGTTCCACTATATTTGGCCAGGTGGTTCTAAATGATCTCAAATGCTTTCTATTTTTCCTTAAAACATACATAGGGTTCCAACGACTAACCAATTTTTTAGAATCTGATTTCTTTAAAATAAACACCTGATACTGTGGCTGAACAGAACGCAAAACTAAATCTCTCTTCATGCTCACCCAAAGTCATGAAAAATTAAAAACCATTATTACAAACAAGTTTTTTTAAAAGATTTAAAAAATTAAATACCAATATATTCATGAAGCTCAATGGAATTATAATATACCGTATGTACTTGAGTATACGCCAACCTGAATATCCGCCAAGGAACCTAATTTTACCACAAAAAAACGCATAAAAAACATGCTGGAAAAACCTGGCTTAAACTCGAGTATATACGGTACATAAATCTTATGTGCAAGGCAAGATATTCCAACCCCAATACTATCTTTTATTAGATAGTTTTAAAAAGTAGAAGGTAGCCCAAGCCTGTATTGACCTGTGTATCTTTTTCATATGGCTTGTTTATACAAATCAATGGGTGTGTGTGTGTGTGTGTGTGTGCGCACTTGCGTGCGTACTAGCACCTTAGCATTATGTTTCTCATCTGTGTCATTATTTAGCCATTCAAGTAGCTCAAAGTTTCAAACAGGTATCACTGACAGCAGTTTGTGTTGGACAAACGCTCAAAGAAAATATTCTGTGTATATGTCAGTGAATTACATAAGTTGAAAAAAATCTTCATCTAATTTTTAAGAAGTAATCTTCCCTACAGAAATTTATTTTTCAGTCTTTTTATCACTGTATCTTTAACTTTTTT